ACACATGTTTTTTTTTTCAAACACAGGCCTTTTCTGCTTGATGTTTGTGTGGGATTAGTTCTACTCTCTAAAACTACTTTTATCTCTTTGCTGCTGCATAAATGTGTGATTTGAAACTTCTCAGACTCCTTCTTTCCCTTCTGTTTTTTGTTGAGGTCCTGACAGAGGGTGTAAAAATAGTTTCAAGGCAATTTAACACCAGTAATGATGATGGGGTTGCATTTATTCTGGGAGCTAAAAGTATTGCAGAGGGAGGAGAGAGCAATCTCCTGCTTCTTCACTGGTTTGAGAACTAAGGTGGGGCTATGGAAGAGTCATTGTGTAAAGCAAAGTCAAGTCCAACTCAGCATCCTTGAGGGATGGAGGAGGGTTCAGAGGTAGTATTAAATGTAAACTAAATGTCATCATGTCCTAGAGAGAAAATTTAGAACATTCTTCAAGATTCAGAATCACTAAAGAAATAGTTATGCATAAACACCTCCAGATTTTTATGAAAAGTTGCAACTATTTCCAAGGCTCAGTGAATGTAATTAATTTAGGTCACTGTTAGGGCCACCAGCTGCAAAATGGAGACAGCTGAAAAATGACCTACTGATTGTATGAACATCCTTCCATATGTTTCTGATTTATAATCAGAATTTTTTAAGGCTGAAGACATTACCTTTATTTCTTGCATTTCTGGAAATGAAAAACTCCTTTTATTGGCTACTGTGTTATAAATGAATAAAGCACATTGCAAAAATCATGCATAATATTAAACAGAAATCAAACTATGGTTAACAAATACAAATGATAACCAGAGTAACAGTGCTATTTACCCAGAGCCCTCTGTCAAACACATGTTCTCTTGAACTTTGCTGTGTGACATCAGTTATATCCTGAAACAAAAGCCAACCTACTGCAATTTATTATAATTTCTTAGAATTCCTTCCAAAATTGGCATTACTTCCTTATGACAATACCATCATTTGTTGAGAGCTGTTACTATGTCCACAGGGACATTTGAGTCAGGGCTCCAAGAATCATTGGCCTTATCCATATTTTACTTCAGTGTTCCAGGCATCTGTTCCTTGTGTTGTTCATAGCATCTGCTTTCCTCTCTGTGTTCATGGCTCATCTTCACATTTATGTTTTCCTTGTGCTGTACTTTTAGAATAGGGAAAGGTCGATTTTTTTTTCTCTGTAGATGATTAATTAATTAATTAATTACAAGATTGTTTCTATTTATTTTCCTTTTAAATGAATTAGGTTGTTAGATATATGAATTTTGGGCAAAATAGTTAAAAACATTAAAAATGCTTGTATTTGTGGAATTCCATAAGTTTCAATAGTGTATACACAAACTGGCTTATAGTTGAATAGTTCATACTCTTGGAGCAGTACTGGAAAATGATTGTGAAATCTCTTCAATCTGTATTTTTTTTGGTTAAAAATATAGTATGTTCCCCTTTTCAGGTAGGAAATGCCTATGCTTATAGCTCACAATGATCAGGTTGGGCAAAGAAGGAAATGGATTTGTATTGTGAAATGTGAATGTGTTAAACTAAATCAGAAAATGTGAACTGTAAAACATCTGTTTTCTATAAAGGAGCCTCTGCCCTCATCCACATAACTTTTATTATCAGAGTACTGAAGCAAAATGTAAAAAATATTTATTGGGAAAAAGCAAAATACATTCCCACTTTTTTGGGCTAAAGGAAGAAATATAGACAGTTGGATTAAACTACTCTTATTTATCTTTCTTTTGATTTTTATAATAACTTCTTATGGCCAGCACTTTACCTGAATTGCTCATGGAGATGCAGAGTTAAAACCCAGCTCAAGCTTTGTTTCTGTATTTTCTGACTGTGCTGTAAACAAACTGAAAATACCAGTTCTGAAAGTACCAGAGCAAATATGTTTTACAGTGTATCAAGGCAGTAGAAGTGAGGAGCAGTACCAGCATGGGTCAGGATAGTGAGAACATAGAACTTGATGTGGAATTAATTAATAAAGATTAGTGAACAATATCCCGTGTCCAGCAATGCCCATGAACAGATGCTTTGGGAAGACAGAATAGAGCAATCACGTATGATCCTTGTCTCTAGCCTGTCTCCAGCTGTTTGCAGCACTCTTGTACCTACTGTGTTTTGTTTAGCAACCTTTAATGCATCTCTTCCAAGGAACACAATTACTGTTCCAGTCTTTTCTCAACACAGTGTCTAAAGCTGCTGCTGCAGCCACGGTGTCCTCAGGCACATGGGACATGAGAGCTTCATTTGGTGGCTCCTTCCCTTCTACTGGAGCAGTCAATCCCTCGACCCTTGCTGTCAATGTAACTAATAATTTTGTGGGTATTTTCTGTATCCCCCCAAGCCATTTCTTTGCTGAGCCCTAGTGCATTCCATGTTGTTGATATAGAAGCCAATCCTTACCTTTGGTGACCTTTCTCTAATCCTTTTCCAATCATGCCCTGTATAATTACACCAGTTACCTGAGGCTTTGGAAATCAATACTGCACTTAATGTCTGAGTGAGCCACAGATTTATGGCAGTGTCCTGATGTCTCTTGTTTTCCATTTGTCTCTAGTTACTCCCTACATTTGAGCTTCCTTTTTACGACTCCTGAGTGCTGAGCCAGTGTTTTCACTGAACACCTAAGGCTACTGAGACACTCCTGAGTCTTGCTCTGAGTGATGTTGGTGAGGTCATCCTTCGTTAGTTTTAATGTGGAACTAAGATCATCATTTCCATGGACATCACTTCTCATTTAACAGTGATGAGCTCCATTGGCTGTTTTAGCATCCTGAGAACTTTTGCAGCCCTTCTTTAGCAACACTTAGCAGTCATTGTTGGCATCTCACTTCTCAGCCTGGTTTGTCTATCTCTTGCTAGCATTTTAAATGGAATAAATTCCAGCACAGGCCCTTTGCAAAGTTCCCACCAGTGAGATCCCCTCCATAGTAAGAATTGACCATTTATTCTTAGGCTGTTTCTCATATTTTATTTGATTTTTATTTGTGATGTTGCCTGCTAATCTGTGGCAACTGAATTTCCTTAAAAACCTTTAGGAGTTTTTGTAGGTTGTTTGGATCAGGATCTCCCTTTTCCACATCCTTCATGACTCCCTCAGAGAACTCCAACATATTCACAAGGCAAAAACATAATGACTTTTACAGAACACATCCCCTATGTTCCCACAGCAAATTGCATTCAGCTAGATATCCATTAATCCAGTACTTTATTATAAATTCTCATTTCTCTGAGGCTACCAAGTCTATACTTCCCTGTGCACTGTAAAAGCCTTTCTGGAATAAGTGTCCTATGTGCTACTGATGATATGAGAATATTAATTGAAAGAAAAGTCAGTTAAAATAGTTCTGCTTGTAATACAAATTTCATGTTCCACCTGAATGAATAAAGTGTAATAAGAGAGCTCTGAAGTTCTCAAAAATTTCCAGTTTGACTTTGAGAAATGCATATAACATCAATATTTTGACTTCTATTTTAAAACTAAAGCTAAGCTTTGTTTCTTAAATGTCTTTAAAAAGCAGAAAGCTTGTGATAAAAGATGTAATATTCATACTATGGCAAGATAGTGTTTAGTGTTATTTTATTTTTAAAGCTGAGCAAGCTTTTCAAAAAAGCCTCTTATTTTAGATTTGCATTTTTTGCACCATTCACTTAAAATCTGAAATAGCTGAAAGGCTCCCGAAGGTTAATATACTACATGTATATATTAATAAAGAAATGAAGTTATAGATATATCTAAATTCTTGTATATACTGTACATAAATGATATTGAGTGTTTAAATGAAGGAATGAATACATGCATGTGTTCCTTATTCAGAAACCCAGAGATGTTTGCAGGTGATAAACGTTAATAAGGTTTTTTAAAAAAGCAGACAAATTCTGTAGCACTGGATTTGTGGGGTGACTATAAAACAGTTTGGTATGAATACTGGATCTGTTCAGAATGCAGATAAGAAAAAGGGGAAGGAGAGAGGAGGAGATTTCTCGAGTTAGTTGGCTGAAGATCCACAAATTAATAACAGTAGAATAAATGTTGTACCCACAAATTTTTAAAACCAGTTGTCCTTAAAGACTACATATATTCTTAAAGTTTATATTAATAGCTTTACAATAAATCTCTTTCTCTTAAAAAGAAGTCATTAAGTATTTTCATTTTCTTAATATTTCAGTTGATACATCACTAACCATAAGAAGGTGGGCCTAAAAAATTAACTGAAATTCTAAGAGGAAAAAATGAGACCTGCCTAACTTCTTAAATTCTAATAGAAATCTGATTACATTGTACTTAAAGTGCAGGACAACTAAAAACACTACATAAAATTATGCAAAGTTGGTAGTATGATATATGGATCCATCACTTGCAAACATTTTATTTTGCTGTTATTTAAGCTCTATCAGGGAAAAAGTGCTGAAAAATAAAGAAGTGATTTAAAAAAAGGCAATAAAGTGCTCTATAGTGTTATCTTCCCCAGTAGTTATCTGGATCTGTTCCTAGGTATAAGATATAACAAAAGTTTGCATAGTTCAAAGTTTTCTTCAGGTTACTTAAAGCAATGTTGAGTCTACTTTGAAGCAGAATACAGCTAATTGGTATTAGCTGTGCAGAGGGATAGTCTAAATTAATAGTTTAAAAAATCTGCAATGTTATTCTTTCTTCCTGTTCTGCTTGATGAATGCTAAATGCAAAGATTACATTACATTTCTATGTGTCTTCTAAAATAACATGGGCTGAAGCATAGGGAAAATATAAATGCTAATGGTTTGGTTGTGTTAATGCACATGCTTTTCCCTAGATCCCAGCAGCTTGGTGAAAGGTTCTTTTTTGCCTGTGTTAGTAATAAGCTGAAATCTCCTTTATAAGATTGTGATAGTTAAAGGACAGCCAAAGAAGTGAATATTATAGTACAGCTTGTCAGGACACTTGAAACATAATATGGGGAAGGTTTGAAGCTCCATATTTGATGTCCTCATCCAATTAGAAATTGGGAGATGTGGAGAAACCTTGTAGAAATACTTTGTAATCTCAATCTCTTGTCCTTTTCTCTAGAGCATCTCTTGGCTTCTGCTCTCAGCAGTAGGATGTAGAGCTGGATGGATTTTTGGCCTTAATCACCTGTTCCTATTGAATTATGACACTGATTTGTGTTTTAGTAATTTTGCAATTGGGTCACTTTAGAACAGAGAAGCTTTTCAGGTCAATTTTCTTTCACTTTGTCTGCTCACCCAAAGGTGAGCCCATCATCAACACAGGTTCTGTGTCAGACCTTTATCTAATGCTCAGTTGAGTGCTCTTTGTTCCTACACCAATAATAGGACATTTACCTACTTTAAACTCTTATCTCCACAGATGCATCTTGAGTATCCCAAACTGCTCAGTTGTTCTAGGATAGATATGAATAACCCAGACTAATGAAAAGTTTCCACATATACTTATTAACAGTGATTACTTCAGTGATAGTAAGGTTGAAAGTAGCTGTCTTCTGCTTCATGATCTTCTTCAGTTTCTTGATTGAGCGTTTCTTGATTGTCTTCTGCTTCCTGGAATTCCTCTGGTGTTAGAAAGCGGCGGAACACTGGTGTTCTGAGCTCGGTTGGCCTGCTGACAGTGACATTTTGCTCTCCATAATAAATGGTTCTGATGAGAGGGAAGCAGAAGAAGGCATAGGTGCTGATGGGGCTCGTGAGCTTGTTCTGATCCACCCGTATGTAGGTTAATTGCTTGATGTTCAGTGGGTCCAGGGTTGGACACATCACAGTAACATTGATGGCTGTGAGAGAGGGGAAAATATTCATTAAAATGCAGCAAGTGGTTATGGTTTAGACTATTGCAAAAGTGAAACTTATGTTTTGATATTTAAAATTGAAAATGTTTTTGTGGTGTACAATAATATAACCCTTCTCTATGTTTTAAATCAGTTTTGTAAATGACAATAGTACCAGTTTGGGGGCTTGCAAAATACAAGGTTTCGAGGTAAGGAATTTGTAATTACTGTTTTATGTGAATGAAGTATTTTCGTAATTCCTTTTCTCTGTATATTTTTATCAGTTGCCAAATCAAAAGCAATCTTCAAAAAGATTTTAGCTGTTACATGAAAAACTGGTATTAACTTTTACAAAGAACTGTGAATTTGAGGAAAGCTTCAAAAATTAAATCCTTCTCTAATTTCAAATTGGTCTCAAATGACTGAAAATGTATTTATATTGCATCCCAAGAATATAGGATGATATTCTCCCCACACTCCTCCCACAACCAATGCCAAAATTCACTAAGTTTATTGCTTTTTATGATGTTTAACCATCAACCTACTTTCAATTTCATTGTCTTCGATGTACAAATGCTGCAAACTTCTTGGAATATAGAACACTTCCTTCAGTTTGTTATGTCCAAGATTAAGTTCTAGAAGGTTGGGTAGATTAAAGGTATTTTGTGGAATGTTCTGCAGGTTATTGTAGGACATTCTTATAGCAATGATTTGGGGAAGTCTGGTGAAATAGTTTTCTGGAATGTGAGAAATGGAGTTATTTTCAAGAGAAAGATGCCGAAGTGATGGTGGCAGGTCAGGAGGCATTGTCTGTAATTTGTTGTTGCATAAGTTGAGCTGCATTAAATTTTTCATGTTTGAAAAGGGTTTTTCTTTGAATACTGAGTCGTCAAGTAAGTTATTGCAAAGGTCAAGCATGGTCATGTTGGGCAGTCCTTGCAATGCATTTCCAGGTAAGCGGGAAATTTTATTGAAACCAAGGAGGAGCCTCTCTAGAGAGCTGGGCAGAGGGAATGGAAATTCTTCTAATTCATTATGTTGTAAATGAAGTTGCACTAAGTTCGAAAGTTTGGCAAAAACACCATGATCAATCATATGGAATTTAATGTTGTTGTAGCTGAGGTTAATTTCCCTTACAAAGGTAACATTGGTGAATGGTCCTGCAGGCACAGCTTCAATGTTGTTGTTTTGCAGATAAAGCTGTTGGACATGACTGGGGATATTTGGTATTGCCTTGAGTTGCCGGTGGTCACAGTACATGGATAAGGGAAAAGCTGGTGGACAAAAACATTCTTTGGCACACTCAACTGGAAAAGGAACATGAGGAACTTCAGCTTGGGTATTTGGGTTAAAATAATATGGAACTTGATGATCTGACTCCCCACCATATTCATCCTCAAAATCATAGTCTTCATACTGACAAAGAACCAAAGCAGCCCAGAGGAGGTGGAGGATTGACAGGTGACTCAGAATCCCCATATTTAAATTTATATGTTGTGACCTGTTGATGAGAAGAAACATTAAGTTTTGGATAGTTATAAAGTAAATAGCAAAAAAGTTTTAAGAAGCAGCAGTATATAATGAAGTAAGTAGAATAATGCCTTTTTTTGGCAACTCTGTCTGTGGCATTACTAGGAAACGCAAGTTTTGATCTGCACTTTCCATGTAAAAAACATAAACAAATTTACTGTCCTTGAAGTAAACAGAGGTTTTCTGGTCTGACTACAGACAAGGAACAACTTTCCACTTCTGCTGTACTTGGTACTGAAGGGTACCATAACAGGATTGTTTCTATAAAGAGAACATTAAAATAGATTCCTTGGAAACATTGTATATTATGTAAAATAGAAGTTTATGGGGCTTTGAAAATTGTACGTTCTGTGACATTTTGTGTTGTTTTTCTGTTTTCCACAAAACACAACTGATTTACTACTGTGTTAATGATGAAATAATGTGATTTTTCTGTTCCCATCATTTATTTAAAGCTAGTACAATTTAACCAATGTGCACTGCACATGGTATAAAATCTTTAGTGGTAACTTTTCTTTGTAGTATTCTTCTGCTTCTGTAACCATATGATCTTTATAGATGTGAACCAATTTACCTTCCAAGTACCCGTCTGAGGTGAAACCCTGATGCTGTAAAAGGCAAATAATTTTGCAGGTCAAATTTCTGATGCTCAAAGCTGGTCTAACATTTTACAGTACTTTATGCAGCTAAAGGAACCTTGTAATTTGTCAGAATGAGAGTTGTTAATCATGTCAAGTGAATCATGTTTAATTTAAGGAGCAATGAGTCAAAATGTTACATTGCAGGTCAAACTACAGAAGTAATGGAAAAATTTAAGAGACTTTGCTCAGTATAGTACAAGAACCCTGAAGCAGAGAGAGAAAAGCAGTTATTCTCGTTTTTTTTCATATATGTTTTGTAGCCAAGGGACTCTGTGAGTATTTGTTTACTGAACACTATCTGTAACAAAGGAGATGAGACAAGTGGTCATTTCTGATGATTCCTAGTGGTGATTACCTAATGCGTGATGTATTCTATGAACTGAACAGGAAAGAGAGAATTCTAAGGAGAAAAGTAGTAACAAACTCTTGGAATTTGAAATATCTTTGTAATTGTGCTGTGTGACACAGAGCCTGTGTGTGCCAGGGGCTGGGTGTCACCATGTGGCATTGCCTAATCTGCATATCTAACTTCGCATTTGAATGTAGTCAAGTTTCCTAACTGATGAAAACCTGAAAATCGGGTTTGTCTGGAGTCAGGAACTCCACTCCAGGTAGGTCCTTAGCAAAGCCAGGGACTCCATATCCCTGCAGCACTGTGGGATGTCTGGGCTAATTAATCAATTAGCAGGGACACATCCAGAGCTGCATAAATGCACTGTGCTGGGTTGAGAAGCAATTCTGTGCTTCAGGAGGAATTCATATTTCACATTTCAGGCAATGTATATCAGAATATCCTCTAATCAGTCCAGTTGGTGTCTATCTAAAATCTGTTTCCAACTTCCACGACTGCCCTCTGGTTTTGTGGAACAGATCCCAGTCTGTCCCCGTTGCCTATTTCATACTTTGTTTCCTTTTGATTTCTCTCTCTTCAGTTGCAGTCCAGAACTTGAGCTTCACCTTCTGGTTCTATTCTCTCAGCACTTCTACTCCATGTCACAACATTTCTAATTAATTATTTTTGTTCTCAGTGCCACAATTGTCCTTAAAAATCAGGAGGGACAACTCAGGAAAATCTCCTCACTTTGGCATAAGGCCTTTATGGGATCGATCTACTTGCTATGTGGACAATGTGAAGAGAATTCCCATCATGTCAGATGAAATGATAAATAGAAGTAATATGTACCAAAGTCTCCCACAGGTTTTATGGAGAGAGAGGAGCTGGTTTTGGGGAGACATTTTGATACTTTGGCTGTAGCTGAGTATCTTACCAGTAGAATAGTAACTGTCCTGCCAGGCTTGCAGGTTGTGTCTCAAAGCACTGAGACACTGACACCTCTTCATGAAATATCTCTAAGAATCTAACTAGCTTTAAAACACTCATGTCAGGTGAAACTTGATAACAGGAAATGCAGGTCAGATGTGCACAATATGATAAAACACATAAATACAAAGCTGAAAAGCAATAGAAAATCTTAAAAGCTTGATTCTCTACCATCTTTAATGAAGTCAGAGCTCAGTAACTGTATTTGTAAGCAGTTTATTTGCTGAAAGCTATATATTATATAACATGCATGAATCATTCTTCATTGAAAAACAACACAATCAGTTCATTTTATTCCTGCTTACCAAGAAAACTTACTCTTTGGAAGTCGGAGAAGTTCTGGTTGTAGAGGGCAGCGAATTCTTGTGCTGGTGAAATCATCTGAGACATAGCCTACCCCAGCTGGAGGAACAAAAGGTCTGTCTAAGCCATATTTTGTGGTAAGGAGCCTTGCAGGAAGGCAACACAAAATAACAGCCTTGGCCCCTCTTCTGATTTGCCAGTAAAATTAAAAAAACTGCTTTGTGCCACATCATCACTTGCTGTAGATGCTGTGTCATAAGGCTGTGAAGCAATTCCTCCTTTTGTTCAAATCTCTCCAATACAATTGGCAGGATTCTTTCAGTTACCAACTCCCATTTACAAAAAAAAAGAGAATAATACTTCAAAAATGATTACAGAGGTTATTAGTTCATAGTGTGGGTTCAGCTGCAGTGATTCAGTTCTGCAAAGGCTTTGTATTCTGAGGATGAAGTTAAGAAACAGTGAAAAAATTACCCTTACCAAAATCAAGGGGAAGCATGTACTATAAA